ATCCCACATTCCCATCCCATCCTAAGCCTCTGGTATCCCCGATCCCACATTCCAATCCCAAACCTCTGGATTCCCTGATCCCATCCAGGTTCTCCCTCATTCCCATCCCAAGCCTCTGGAATCCCTGATTCCACATTCCCATCCCAAGCCTCTGGAATTCCGGATCCCATCCAGGCTCCAACACATTCCAATCCCATCCCAAGCCTCTGGAATCCCTAATCCCACATTCCCATCCCAAGCCTCTGGAATTCCGGATCCCACATTCCCATCCTATCCCAAGCCTCTGGAATTCCAGATCCCACATTTCCACCCCATCCCAAGCCTCTGGATCCCCTGATCCCACATTCCCATTCCAAACCTCTGGAATCCTGGATCCCATCCCATCCCAAGCCTCTGGAATCCCTTATCCCAAACCTCTGGATTCCCTGATCCCATCCAGGCTCCCCCTCATTCCCACCCCATCCCAAGCCTCTGGAATCTCTGATCCCACATTCCCATCCCATCCCAAGCCTCTGGAATACCCGATTCCACATTCCCATCCCATCCCAAGCCTCTGGAATTCCCAATCCCACATTCCCATCCCAAGCCTCTGGAATTCCCGCTCCCACATTCCCGCCCCCGGGGCTGCTCCGACCCCTTCCCAGCTCCCGCTCCCGGCGGCGATTCCCGAATTTCCCCCTCCCCCTTGTCCGGCTCCAACCCGGGAACGGGAACGAAACCACGGACACATCCCGGGGCTCTCCCGTTATTCCCAGCGGGATTTAATGGAGGAAAATCCACCCCCACCCTCGGGAATCCCGGGAAGCGAAAAGTGCGGGATCAGCTCCAAACGTCCGCCCGGATCCGGGAAAAAGGCAGGAAAAACCCCCCAAATTCCCAGGAAAACCCCCCCCCCCAAATTCCCAGGAGAAGCAGCGGGAACGGGAGAAGCCTCCAAACCATTCCCAAGGCCGGGAAATCTCGGGATTCCGGGAATTGCAGCACCTGGAAAACGGGATAATCCGCCTTCCTCCGGGGGAAAACGGGGAACGGAAAAGGGAATTCCGGAGCCGGAATTAAGGACGAAGGGGGGGAAGTTTTCCAGGGAATTGGGCGGGAAGGAGATCCCAGCGGGGTCACCGGCCGGAATTCCAAGCCCTGGCGGATCCCAATCCGTGTTTTTATCCAGCTGGGAGAGGGAAAACGGGAGTTAATTCCAAGGGAAAACGGGATTCGTGTCGATGTTAAAATCTGGGAAGCGACAATTCCCTCGGGATATTCCCGAACTAGAGGAGGGAAAAAGCTCTTCCCAGTTATTCCTCCTTCCCAGAAAAAGAAGGAAGAGCGAAAGGATCCCATTCCCCCAAAAAATCCGGGATTAATCCATGATTTTGAGAGGAAAAACAGGATTTGTGTCGATCTGAACCTTTGGGAAGCGACAATTCCCTCGGGATATTCCTGAACTAGAGGAGGGAAAAAGCTCTTCCCAGTTATTCCTCCTTCCCAGAAAACAAGGGAAGAGTGAAAGGATCCCATTCCCCCAAAAAATCCGGGATTAATCCATGATTTTGAGGGGAAAAAGCAGCCCAGGAGGGAAAAAATTCCCGAATATCGGCGGGAAATCCACATTCCAAGAGGGACGGGAGCCCGATCCCGGCTCGGGAAAAGCGGGAACGACGCTCCCGGAGCAGCTTTTCCCGGGATAATGAACATTCCCGGGGGGGGTTGTGTCGCTCCCAAGGGATGGGATAACCCGGGAATGGGATCCCGGGGATTCCTCGTCCCGCTGGATCCAGGAAGGGGAATATTCCAGGTTATGGTTGGGAATGACACGGCCGGGAAGGTGGGAATGTTCCGGCTTCCAGTGGCTCCTTCCCATCCCATCCCAAATATCCAGGAATTGGGAATGTTCCGGCTTCCAGTGGCCCCTTCCCATCCCATCCCAAACATCCAGGAATTGGGAATGTCCCTGATCCCAGTGGCTCCTTCCCATCCCATCCCAAACATCCAGGAAGGTGGGAATGTCCCTGATCCCAGTGGCTCCTTCCCAGTACATCCCAAATATCCAGGAATTGGGAATGTTCTGGCTCCCAGTGGCTCCTTCCCAGCTCATCCCAAATATCCAGGAAGGTGGGAATGTCCCTCTTCCCAGTGTTTACACCCCTGGAGCCAGGATCCAGGGATGCTCCAGGATCCCTCTTCTCTTCCCAGCTCATCCCAAATATCCGGGAAGGTGGGAATGTCCCTGATCCCAGGGTTTACACCCCCGGAGCCAGGATCCAGGGATGCTCCGGGATCCCTCTTCCCAGTGTTTACACCCCTGGAGCCAGGACCCAGGGATGGCCTGGGATCCATCTTCTCTTCCCATCCCATCCCAAACATCCAGGAATTGGGAATTTCCCTCTTCCCAGGGTTTGCACCAACCCCACCTGGAGCATCCTCAGCATTCCCATCCCAAACATCCAGGAATTGGGAATCTCCCTGCTTCCAGTGGTTCCTTCCCAGCTCATCCCAAATATTTGGGAAGGTGGGAATTTCCCTGATCCCAGTGGCTCCTTCCCAGCTCATCCCAAATATCCAGGAAGGTGGGAATGTCCCAGATCCCAGTGTTTACACTCCCAGAGCCAGGATCCAGGGATGCTCCGGGATCCATCTTCTCTTCCCATCCCATCCCAAACATCCAGGAATTGGGAATGTTCCTGCTCCCAGTGGCCCCTTCCCATCCCATCCCAAACATCCAGGAAGGTGGGAATGTTTCAGCTTCCAGTGGCTCCTTCCCATCCCATCCCAAATATCCAGGAATTGGGAATGTTCCTGCTTCCAGTGGCTCATTCCCAGCTCATCCCAAACATCCAGGAATTGGGAATGTCCCTGCTCCCAGTGGCCCCTTCCCATCCCATCCCAAATATCCGGGAAGGTGGGAATGTCCCTGATCCCAGTGTTTACACTCCCGGAGCCAGGATCCAGGGATGCTCCAGGATCCCTCTTCCCAGTGTTTACACCCCTGGAGCCAGGATCCAGGGATGGCCTGGGATCCATCTTCTCTTCCCATCTCATCCCAAACATCCAGGAAAGTGGGAATGTTCCTGCTCCCAGTGGCCCCTTCCCATCCCATCCCAAACATCCGGGAAGGTGGGAATGTTTCAGCTTCCAGTGGCTCCTTCACAGCTCATCCCAAACATCCAGGAAGGTAGGAATCTCCCTGATCCCAGCTTTTTCACCCCTGGAGCCAGGATCCAGGGATGCTCCAGGATCCCTCTTCCCAGTGTTTACACCCCTGGAGCCAGGGATCCAGGGATGCTCCGGGATCCATCTTCTCTTCCCAGCTCATCCCAAACATCCAGGAAAGTGGGAATGTTCCTGCTCCCAGTGGCTCCTTCCCAGCTCATCCCAAACATCCAGGAAGGTGGGAATCTCCCTGATCCCAGCTTTTTCACCCCTGGAGCCAGGATCCAGGGATGCTCCAGGATCCATCTTCT